GGCCTATCCCTCTGCTTCCTGACTTTATGTACCATATAGTGTAGGATGACATTGCTTTGTCCTTTCTCCCTTTCTCCACAAGGAACTTAGGTTTATCAGGTTACACCCATCACGGTGCTACTGAATCACTCTCATTCCTTCATTTATCTATAACCACTTCTCTCTGCTCTCCTCCCCAACCAGTTAATCAGCTTTCCCCCTAATCAGACTCTATTAACTTGTAAGGTTAGATTCCTCAGAAATCTATGATTTTATATGTAAGAGTGAAATATTGCCTTTCTCCTCTCCTTATGCCTTATGAACAGTTTACTTTTAAGCAATGCCCTTTTTGTATAGATACAGGAAGACTGTTAACATTATGCTTTGTAACTTAGGATTTAATTGACTTTGAATATGATTCACTCCTGGGCATCTGCTTTCTCGACTTAAACCTCAGTTGCCCTTAGTTCCTAACACCCCAAAAGCAAGGTCCCAATGAGGGACTGAATGGACCCAGGGCAAGCGGTGAGCTACCCTGGCATCGAAAGGGGCCAGGCCAAAGTGCCACGATTCTTAACTATAAGTTAGGAGTTTGATCATAGACAAATGCTGTCATGATCCAAAAGTAACGATGAGACTAGGATCCTGCTAGGGGTAGGAAAGACTATCTGACCTGAGCACTGTAGTCTGAGATTGAGATGGCCCTAGGAGGGCAATTCTCTAAGTTAAAGGTATTTCTTACTGTATCCATACAAAATGATTTATATTATATATTCCTATATTGCTCGAGCGGGCCCAGTAACGTCTCCATTGGAGACTTTGTTGTTACTGTGTCTGGCATATCGAATACTCTCGGTAGCTTGCTGGGCTCTCCGAGAGGGGCGGAGGAATCGAACTCGGGTCGGCCATGTTGGCCGCTTGTAAGGCGAACGCCCTACCCGCTGTGCTATCGCTCCAGCCCTATATATTTGTTGGACAAGGAGAGGAGAAACACACCCAGGTGATTCTGCTCTAGGGTGGGTTTATCTGATAATGACAATCTGTCCTAGAAGGGGCTTTCCCCAAGGGAAAGAATTCTACCCCTATTGATTGTGACCACACCTATGTGTAATTGTTACCCCAACCCCTCATGCTTTGGGATTTAACTAGACTGTAAGAGTGGGCTGAGGGATCGAAATCAGAATCGAGACTCCAGAGAAGGAGGATGAAGGGGCATGGAGAAGGAGAATGAAGTAGCATGGGGGAGGAAGAAGCAGAGGAAGAGGCAGAGGACAGAGACAGGAATAAATGGAGAGAGGATTGGAATAAACTGCAACTAAGACCAACCAGCCTGGCCCTCGTTTCCTTCCTTCACCTGCCCATCACCATCGACCTCCCTGGAGTGGGGGAAGCAGCGTGAGACTACCGAACGCTGGCGGAGGGAGAGACAGAGCCACCGCCGCTGCTGCTGTGCTGTCTTCTTGAGGCAATATTAACTTACAATACAATTTCAGAGTCCTAGAAGGATATGACCTTACAAATGAACAGTTACTGATTGGGGAGGGGGCGGGAATCTGATTAACTGGTTGGGGAGGAGAGCAGAGAGAAGTGGTTACAGATAAACGAAGGAATGGGAATGATTCGGTAGCACTGTGATGGATGCAACCTGATAAACCTAAGTTCCTTGTGGAGAAAGGGAAAAAGGACAAAGCAATGTCATCCTACATCATATGAGTGCACTTTTCAGTATTTGTCGTTCTTCTGATTCATTCCACTTAACATGACCGTCTAGTGCTATTCATGTTGTAGCAAAATGCAAGATCATTTTTTCTTAGAGCTGAGTTTCATTCCATTACTTACACACACACACACACACACACACACACACACACACACACACACCTCACATCTTTCTTTTTGCTTAGAAGACCTGGTATCTGGGGGTGAGGGGAATAAGCTCCAAGGTTGCTTTCAATGATGTTGAATATACCATATGCTGTGAATCCCAGTTGGCTGCATGCCAGGTAAGTGCCTGACCCTGTGCTATACCCTCTAGATCCTGACTGTTGTAAATAGAGCTGCAATAAATTAGGTGTGCATAGATGTTTTCAAGTTAATGTTTTTGTGCTCTTGGTATAGAAGCAAAGAATGGAATTGCTGATACTTGTGATTTTAGTTTGTAAGGAAGTCTCCGTGTAGTGGGGAAATTTGGAGCAGAAGCTAGAAACTAGAAACAGTATCTCTGAGCGACCCATTCTGAAAACTGGGCAAAAATTAATAGTCATAAATCATAGAGTATAGCCAGAGCAGAAGGACCAGATCGATATGTTTGCTTGAGCAGAAATGGAATGGGATCACAGAAACAATTAGTAAAGGTTTATGTGGAACTTAAAATAGAATGCTCCCCTCACTGATTGTATCAAGCATTTGTTATGTTAGCACTGTGTATGTTAGATGAGAAAAATGTTCCCATAAAATTAGGAATTATGAGGACCAGAGCAACAGCAATAGTACAGCAGGTTGGGCTCTTGTCTTGAACACAGCCAGCTTGGGTTCAATCCCCGGCATCCTGTATGGCTCCCCGAGTACCACCAGGAGTGATTCCTGAGTGCAGAACCAGGAGGAACCCCTGAGCATCATCAGATGTGACCCAAACCCCACTTCTCCACCCCACCCAACCCCAAAATACCAAGAATCAAAATTCTGTATCTGAACTATTGAGTTTGTGCCCCACCCATTTTGGCATGAACCAGTGGAATGAGGATATGTAAGTAAAGATAGGTCTCCCTCTGATCTCACATGTGTTTGCCCCTGGTTCTTGGTCAGATTTCTGTAACATCATACTGTTTCTCATAGAGGCTGAACCAGATGTCATTCCCACCAACAGTGAATGTGGGTTCCCTTTTCACTACATCCCTGCTAATGCCAGTTGCTTCTGGGCTTTTAGGTGCATGCTATTCTCACTTCTGTGAAATGATAGATGATTGTCATTTTGATTGGCATCTTACTGATCATCAGTAATGATGAGCACTTCCTCATACACCTGTTACCATCTACATATCTTTTTTAGGAAAGTGCCTGTTTGGGGAATCTCTGTTCTCCCCATTTTTGGATGAGGATGTTTTCTATGGCTGCTGTTGAGTTTCGTGCTTGCTTTATGTATCTTGGATATTATCCCTTTGTCATGTGTATGGTGTCAGAGATTATATCGCTAATAATCTCAGAAACGGGATTTCACCCATGTCAGTTTGACCACAACGTCCCTCCTCCTCCTGCTTTTTCTTTTTTCTTTTCACTTTGACTATATATTGAGGAATGTTCCTTTGGCTCCCATTTTGTTGACAGTTATTATCATGAATTAGTGGTGGATCTTGTCAAAAGTTTTATCTGCATTTATTGAGATGATCACATAGTTCTCATGTTTTCGTTTATTGATATGGTATATTATGTTAATTGACTTGCAAATGTTAAACCATCCTTGCATCCCCAACCCCAGGATGAACCCACTTGGTCATGGTGTATGGTCTTTTTGATGAGTTGTTGAATTCTATTGCTAGTATATTGTTGAGAATCTTTGTGTCTGTGTTCATCAGGGATATCGGACTGAAATTTTATTTTTTTGTGGCTGGAGCGATAGCACAGCGGTAGGTGTTTGTTTGCTTTGCCAACCCGGCCAACCCGGGTTTGATTCCTCCGCCCCTCTCGGGTGAGGAGGTAGCTTGTCGGACACGCCCGCATGGCAAAGCGTGGCAAGCTACCCGTGACGTATTCGATATGTCAAACACAGTAACAATAAGTCTTACAATGGAGACATTAATGAGCCCGCTCGAGCAAATCAATGAACAAGGTAAGGACAGTGCTACAGTGCTATTTTGGTCACACCCAGTGATGTACAGTGATGCACACTCCTGGCTCTGCACTCAGGAATTACTCCTGGCAGTGCTCAGGAAATCATATGGGATGCTGGGAATCGAACCCAGGTCGGCCGCATGCAAGGCAAATGCCCTACCCGCTGTGCTATCCCTCCAGCCCCACCTCCTGCTTTTTTTTTTTTGAGCTACATCACATCCAGTTTCTTTTTAACATCCTTCAAAAAATTTTGTTCATAGTCTTTATGTTTATGATTCTGCAATTTAAACCTTTAAGAAGTTAAACCAACCTCCAAGGTGGCTTGGAATGGCAACGTTTTCCTGCTAGAGCAAAGCTAGAGCAGAACGACACAGCAAGAACATGCGGTGGTGGGCCGGAGAGATAGCACAGTGGGTAGGGCATTTGCCTTGCATGCGGCCGACCCGGGTTCAATCCCTGGCATCCCATATGGTCCCCCAAGCATCGCCAGGAGTAATTCCTGAGTGCAAAGCCAGGAGTAACCCCTGAGCATTGCTGGGTGTGACCCAAAAAGCAAAAAAAAAAAGAACATGCGGTGGTACGTGGAGCGCCTATGTGCCCAGTTCGGAGCTTTATTTGACTGGATTCGTAGCTGCCAATTCCTAGACACTTAAGATTTCTATACTTCAATTTTCCCTGTCAATCAAATGGAGGCAATAACTGTTCCAAACTCAAGGAAGATGCCCTCACCACATTACAGCCCAAGTGCAAGAACAGGAGGAAGCCCTGAGCACCGCGAGGTGTGGCCCCCAAGCAAACCAACCAACCAACCAACCAACAAAACATTATGTCTAATTAGGCCCAATTTCAGAAAACTTTTTTCCCCCCAAGAACAACTGCTTCTAAGTTCCCCAGTAAGAAGATGGCAATAAGGTTCCACCAAATCATAGCTGCTTGCTGGATAAAAGGAAGAAAACAATTGTTTTCGGTTCTTAAATTCTTCAAGGCAGCTCAAACCAGTCAGACAAACTAACAAATCAAATATCCTTCTCCTTAGAAAATGTGGGTGGTCCACACACCGCAGAAAGAACACCCCTTTCCTCTCTGGTAGGAAATGGTTTCGTTTTCAAGTAATAGAAACAGAATAAACAATTGGCTGATCTAGCCAATAAAACCTCTGAACCTGCTCTTCGTTACAACCAGTTCTCTTTTACTTCTTCCTCCCACAGGTCCTCCCCTTCACTCCTCGCACAGACCTCATCTTTGAAACAGTGAGTTCTATGATGTTATCTACTTCTTTAAAAGCTTACTGGGGGTGGGGGGAGACTTTCTTATTTGCTCTGCAGTTTTTTTCTTAGTGAATTGCTTTAAATTTAGAAAATGTCCAGTTCAACAGGTCTGTAGCAAGAATGTGGGATATGACCTGTGAGGGAGCCTGAAAGTTTCACCCAGGGATAAATATAGGTTTGGTAGAGTGTGCCCCGATTTGGCCATTATTTCACGAGTTTTCTTTAGGTTGTTGTTCTTTTCTAATTTCACTATTTTTCGATGCACATACATATATTCTTAGGTTGGTCTCATTTCTTTGTGCTTTGCAATGCTTCACTTGATTTTATCTCTTTCAAATATTTATGGACAGGAGGACTTTGTAGATTTAGTAACTGAATCATAAGAACCCTTGGATTTCCAGGACAAAAGTTTTTTAAAAAGACCGAATGCTTTAGAACTAAATTCTGGTGTTTTACTTACCTGCTTAAAGAGATAGGCTGGGACCATAGCACAGTTTGTAGTCACTTGCCTTGCAGGTGACCTACCTGAATTCGATCCCCGGCATCCCATATGGTCCCTGAGCACTACCAGGAGTGATTTCTGAGTGCAGAGCTAGGAGTAACCCGGGAGCTCAGCTGAGTGTGGCCAAAAAAATAAAAAAATAAAAAAAAATAAAGAGAAAGTTTGCTGTTCTCGTATCATATTTGATAACGATGAAAGAAGAGATTATGAATGACCATATTTCCAAAAAATCAATATCAAAAACACCAGAGAGAAGAAATTTAAGCAATTTTAAGCAATATATTTAGTCGCTAAATTGATTGATAATAATAATATTGACTTTTTCCTGTCTTGGAGATTCTCCTGCATCTCAAGCAGGATGTGGTCAGTTCCCTTCCCTTTGGGGAAGCCCCCGTTCTCTCTGAACATGTCCTCTCACTGTCCCTGTCTCTGTTGTCTCTCTTTCTCTTACACACACACACACACACACACACACACACACTCAATCCTGGCTCATGGGAGTACAGGCCCCCTTCTCAAGGCATTCCATAGCTGAGGAGAGGGGCACCAGGCTGGTTGTGCACTAACGTGTGAAAGCAGAAGCAAGTCCCTGGAGGTTAGAGTGAGGGAGTCCCATGGAGGGAGCTTCTCAAGGAACGTGTGTCACAAAAAAAACTCAGGCCAGAGCCACTTGGCAGAGTCCAATAAACCAACTTTGCAAAGGCAATGGGGTAGACATGTTCTGGGGTTCACCTGAACCTTCACCTGAGGTTTGAACTCTCAGCTCTCTGTCTCTCTCTGTCTCTGTCTCTCTCTGTCTCTGTCTCTATGTCTCTCTCTGACTGTCTCTCTGTCTCTGTCTCTTTCTCTCTCTGTCTGTCTCTCTCTCTCTCTCTCTTTCTCTCTCTCTCTCTCCCCCTCTCCTCAACTCATATTCCGAGGAAGAATTTGGCAGGGGGTGGGGGTGGGGGTGTTAGAGAGGTCCACAGACTGGACCAAGTGCTGTCTCCCCCACGTCCCGAATCAAAAGTGGTGCTTAGCACCGAGCCAGGAGCAGCCTCCGAGCATCACCAGATGAGATGAAGGGGAAAAAAATGGAGCCTGGACAATAGTACAGTGGGTAGGGTGCTTGCCTTGCACACACCTGACCTGGGTTCAATCTCGGCATCCCATACAGTCTCCCCCGCCCACCAGGAGTGACCCCTGAGCACTGCCAGTCAGTGCAAACCTCTGAGTGGGAGACCAGGGTAGGGCTTGGAGGTTCCAGGAAAGCTTTCAAACACTTTCCAGTGCTAAAGAGAGCTCAAGGAAGTTTTCCGACTTCCTGCTACCTGGAAAGGGATAGCACAGTGGTAGGGCGTTTGCCTTGCACGCAGCCAACATGGCCAACCCGAGTTCCATTCCTCCGCCGCTCTCGGAGAGCCCGGCAAACTACCGAGAGTATCTCGCCCGCACGGCAGAGCCTGGCAAGCCCCCCGTGAGGTACTCGATATGCCAAACACAGTAACAACAAAGTCTCCAATGGAGACGTTACTGGGCCCGCTCGAGCAAATCAATGAACAACGGGAGGACAGTGACAGTGACAGAGGCTGGAGGGACACACAGGAGTGAAGGGACTTGTCCTGAATATATCCCCCCCCCCCAGGTTAAATCCTCAGCGCCCCATGTGGTCCCCTAAGCCCCCAGCCAGGCGTAAACCCTGAGCACAGCCAGGTGTGGCCTCCAAACCAACCAAACAAAAGAGTATTAAATGTTTAATAGCTGCACCCAAGATATTTGCGGTTATTTGGAACATGATTACACTTGCTTCTGTCCTCTATTTTGTTGCCACGTAAGGACCCCCAGAAATCTTAAAAAGGATACTCAACCGAGCTGCCAGAGCTTCTGCTTTCTTTGGTCTTACTAAGAAGGAAGCATGGTGCTGTTTGCCTGCAAAGCCTCCGAAGAGAGGCGACAGCACTGCTTGAGAGTAACATCAGCTGGTCGGGCTGTCAGAGGCAGCCTAAGGAATCAGTAACCCGCAGACCTCACAGTAACCCACAGAGAAACACCCACCCCACCCCCAGCTGGGCTCCGCCCAAACCCTTTGGGGCCCCGACTGAGCGTCCCCTTCTGGGAAGAGCTCTGGTCCAGGAAACAGAAACTTAAGCACCTGGAGGTTACACCTGAGGATGCTCGCGCGTGCGCCCAGAGTCCGCTCCCTGCGCGAGGCCAGGGCAGGGGGCTCCCTGCACTGGGGGCGGTGCCTGGGGAACTGTGTGTTGGGGGGGGTCGGGGAGCCCCATCCTGGGGGCAGGACCGCACCCAGAGGCGCAGATAAAGAGTGACTAACACCTACGGGCCTTTTCCGGGGCAGGTATGGACTCACCCAGGGTGGTTGTGTTGGTATGGTGGTGCTGGGATTACAGTACATTGGGGTTTGTCTGTTTTATGGATTTACCACGGGGTTGTAAGACCAGGAAGCTGGGCGCACCCTCAGCCCCGCACCCCGGGTTGTCCTCAGCCACAGTCCCGCCCGCGGGTCACTGGGGGCTTACAGTGAGTTTTGTTTTCTTGTTGCCATGAACTTATATTCTCTCTCTCTCTCTCTCTCTCTCTCTCTCTCTCTCTCTCTCTCTCTCTCTCTCTCTCTCTCTCTCTCTCTCTCTCTTTCTCCTCTCCTTCCCTCCCTCCCTCTCTCCTATTGTGCATCATGGATTGCAATACAATCATGCTTGGTCCTTTGCCAACCTTCAGCACACATCTCCCTTCCAGAGCCGTCCCTCCAACCATGTTTGTCATAATGGTCCCGTCTCTATCCCAACTGACCTCTCCCCCAACCTTTGACATAGGCTTCCAACCGTGGACCATTCCTCCCGCCCCTTGTTTCCATTGTCCTTGGGTGTTACTCAGAATGTGTACATTTTATGACATGCAAAGCCTATCCCATTAAAGCTATTTTAAGAAGCACAAGAGCTGCCCAGTTTCCTGGATTTCAGGGAGCCAGTGGGGCCACCACCCAGTAGTGCTCAAGGCTTACACCTGGTCCTGTGCCCAAAGGTCACTCATGGGGGCACTTGGGGGTTCATATGCTGGGGATCAAACTGAGATTGGTCATGGGCAAGGCAAATTCTTGAACCCCTGGCTCTGTACTCAGGGATTGCTCCTGGCAGTGCTTGGGGGACCGTATAGGATGCCTTGGGTGGAACTGCCTCCCGCTGTCCTATCTCTCAGACCCCCTCTACCGCCTTCTGAACTTTTAGGCCTCTTGGTGCCAGAACCACAATATAGCAGTAGGGCATTTGCCTAGCATGTGGCAGGCCCGGATTCAATCTCTGGCATCCCATATGGTCCCCCCCGCCCGAGAACCCCCTTTATGCAGAGCCAGAGTAACCCCTGAGCATCTCTGGGTGTAGCAAAAACAAACAATTACTGACAGCTAAAAAAAAAAAAAAACACTTTTAGGTCCCAAGAAACATTCCAGGGAATCTTTTACTCTCCCGCAGTCTGTCCTCAAAGTCATCATTTCCCCCATGTACTCCAACTCTGTTCTATTGGCAAATTGTGTTTATAGATCAAGATTGGGCTGGAGCGATAGCACGGCAGGTAGGGCGTTTGCCTTGCACTCGGCCAGAAGGGTCAACCCAAGTTTGATTCCTCCACCCCTCTCGGAGAGCCCAGCAAGCTACCGAGAGTATCTCGCCCGCACGGCAAAGCTTGGCAAGCTACCCGTGACATATTCGATATGCCAAACACAGTAACAAGTGTCACAATGGAGACGTCACTGGGCCCGCTCAAGCAAATTGATGAACAACGGGAGGACAGTGACATTGACAGTGACAGATCAAGATTTGGGCCAATATCGGTTGAGAGCTGCAGAGAGAAGTGCAGGGTCAGGAATGCGGCCTTGCACTGGCCCTCAACCAGGGCAGCCCTGGACGTCCCAAGGCTCCTCCTGGTGTTCCTGTTGAACTGTCCAGGCTGCCCGCCCAGTCAAGCACCATCAGGCATGGCCCCAGTGCAGCCTGGGCGTTACTTGGGCGGTAGCCCCGAAACTGGGTTGCTCTCCCTTCTAGAACAAAGCTCAATGAATAAATCTAGGAAATGGATTTATGTTTACAGACATTTCCGTGTGTGTGTGTGTGTGTGTGTGTGTGTGTGTGTGTGTGTGTGTAAAATGCAAAGCTGCTTTTGGTAACCGGACAGCTTCCTGTAAACGCATCTAATTTTTCTTAACCATGGCCTGTTTATCAACATCTGCCCTGACACGTTTGCTCAGGAAGCTCACGACACCTTCCCCATAGGCGTCTGTCCTTTCCACGTCAACTCGGTTACACGAAGAGTTAGAGTACCACAAGCTCTCCAACCCTCACCTCCGTCGAGACCCTTGCCCACAAGCCCCTCGCTGTTCTTTCTGTCCAGCTGCCCACCCTGGGCACGGCGTGTGGCCTGCACACCCTGTCGAGGGCTGGATAGAACAACTGCTTCACTTTTCTGTGCTTGCATGTGATTTCCTGCTGTGTGTGGGGGCGGGGTCCTCAGAGACCCCCCCAAGGGAACGCACGTGTGTGTGTGTGTGTGTGTGTGTGTGTGTGTGTGTGTGTGTGTGTGTAAAATGCAAAACTGCTTTTGGTAACTGGACAGCTTGCACCAGTGTGGGTGCAAGCACGAGCTTATACCTCCAACCCCATCCAGTAACAGGATCATTCTAGCCTCCCTCCCATCCATATATGTTCTTTTTTTCCCATGAGAGATGAAAAGCCTTAATCTCATTTTCCACCATGTAATTATCAAATCAAATCTAATGTGTATTTAGATAGAATGTATATATAATTACTTAATCGAATATTGCTAACTCGTATTTCTCAATGTAGGCAGAGAATTTGAGCTCTCATTCACTGATATGTTTGGTTAATGTATGTATATTTATATTTTAGTGTCTTGGTTAGTTCTAATATTCAGTAAGTGAGTAATAGGTGAATGCCTCAATCTCATTATCTTATTATCTCATTCTTACATTGGACAATCTGGCAGGCTACCCAATGTTACCTGCACACACGGCAGAGTCTTGGCAAACTCCCCATGGCGTACCCAATATGCCAAATACCAGTAACAACGATGGGTCTCATTCTTCTAACCCTGAAAGATCCTTGAATATGGCACTTTTTAAAATCTCAGGGCTAGGACCAAGGAGACGTTTCTGGGGCCTGCTCGAGGCAATCGACGAACAACAGGATGATCATGATCGTGACCTCAATCTCAAAAAAAAAAAAATTGCTAACCTATACCTCTGTGAAAAATAAGTTTGCTAACCATAGCATAAAATATGTGTAAATGTTTTTTTGTTCTTTGTCTTACATGTTAGGATGAAACGACTGCTTTCCAAAGTTGTAACTTCTAGTTCATCAGTACCACCCGCTGCAGGACAGATAAAGTTAGGCTTACAAATGCTTCATGTGCAAAGCCTGAACTGGAAGAAATTAAGAGGGAAAAGTAGAAGCAGACACAGGGAAATTTAGAGGCAGGACCTCTGAATCACCCCTTCTAGAAGTTGGGTAAGACAAAGGGTCCATAAATCATAAACTACAGTAGGCTCAGGGCAGGGTGCAAGAGTGCTCAGGTTATCTGAACAACGAAGGCATCAGAGAGATAATTAGCACTTGTCCATATAAAACTGAAAGCAAATTGCCTTAATCACTGATAGGATCGATTATTATATATGTTAACAACCATGGTAGCACCACAATGTTAGATGTCACTGTCACTGTGACTGTCCTCCCGTTGTTCATCGATTTGCTTGAGCGGGCCCAGTAACATTGTGAAACTTGTTACTGTGTTTGGCCTATGGAATACGTCACGGGTAGCTTTCCGGGCTTTGCCGTGCGGGCAAGATCCTCTCGGTAGCTTGCCAGGGATGGAAAATATTTCCCTTCGAGGCAGGTAGCTTGAAACTGGCCTCTGGAAGTTTTTTTATGAGCTGTGTTTGTGGCTTGATCCTTTATGGCCGTATCCAGGTGGAGTCCGCATGTGTAAATAAACTCCCTTTTACTTCTTCAATGCCAAAAAATAATATATTGTTTCCAGGACCAGGAAGATAGTCCAGATGGTGGACTGCTTGTTTTGCATGTGGAAGCCCTGGGTGGGACCCCTAGCACCAAATGTTCCTCCAAGTACTGCTGGGAATAAGCTCAACCACTGAGCCTGCACAAACCCCAAGTGCCACCTGGCATAGCCCAAAAACCCACAGAAAAGGTTTTCCCACATGACAGATCACTTTTTCCTTCCCCACGTCCTTCACTGCTGTCCTAATACTAACTCTCTGTGAATGTTTCCAGTCTCTCCGGTGTTCCTTTCCCATTCTGGTTGATTTTGACTGACCCCTTCCATGTTGCCTTGATTTGTAAAGCATCGGCTTGCTTCACAGAGTCAGAGACACACAAAAGACACACCTGGAAAAGCATCTCCCCACCCTATTATTCAGTTTCTACTGTCCTAGTCTTCCCCCTCTCATTTACCCTCAACAGAACCAGCTGCATTTGCGTCCAGATTATTCCGAAGTGCACTTTGGAGCAGATGCACGCTTTCTTTTTTTTCCTGTAATTTCTCAGCAAGGAATGTCACACAGTATGCTGCTGTGTGTCACTTTCTTCACTTTTCATCCTTCAAACCATGATGAGTTTGGAGGTTTGGCGGAGGGCTCTCAAACAGTGCTCAGGCCGCCAGGAAGTTCCCTCCCAGTGGTGCTCTGAGCAATGGGCAGGTCAGGGCCCAGCCCAGCAATGCAATGCCACACCCTTCCAGCCCTCTGGGCCACCCTGCAGTGTTTGGGGCCCTTCGGGACTGTGCCCAATGGGGCCGGGCTAAACTCAGGATCTTGTGCGTGCCAGATGTGGGCTCCAGCCCTCTGCGCTAGCTCCGTGGCTCAAGCCCATCCTCAGTTCATGGAGACTGTCCTCCATTCTTTTTAAAATGTTTGCAATAGGGGGGAAAAAAATCTCTGCCATGAGCCCTGTCATAACTCTCCTGGACATAAAGCCCTGAATTAATTGCAGTAGTTTATCAAAACACACAATGTTACTATGAATACGCCCCTGCATATTTATGTGTGTCTGTGTGTGTCTGTGTGTGTTTCCATTCTTAGACTTAGACTACAATGAATTTGTAGGGATGGGATTATTGATAGTAAGTAGGAAGAGTAATGGAATCAGTAGTAAATGTTGTTTGTTCTGTTGGGGGGAGGTGCTCAGGGCTTGCTCCTGGCTCTACTCTGGGGTCACTCCTGGTGGTGCTCAGGGGAACTAGATGAGGTGCCAGGGATTCTAACAGGTCTGTGGGGTGCAAGGCAGGGCCTTCCTGCTGTATCATACACAGACTGTGCCATATCCTACTGGGATAAACACTATCTCTGAGAAGTGACTATTCAGAGTCCCGTTGGCTCTTACAGGCTACTTCCCACCACCATTGGCTGGTTGGTTTCCCAGGCGTTTGTGGGGCCCTGATCCCCGTGTGAAGGGCGGGCACAGCGCTGCGGGGAGAAACACCTGCTCATCTCACCAGGCCAGTGGCTTTCTCCCCCGGGGCCCTGTGCTCAGAAAGGCGGAGCCAGAACGTTCTCCGGTGATTCCCCCAGCAGTGCCCAGTGAGCCGCTGCACGCCAACAGCCACCACCTGCTCGCCCCTTACTCAGGCAACGCTTTGTTTTTCAGCCCCTCGGTCTCCACGGACCCTGCGTCGAAAATGCAAGCACCCGTGCAGCCGACACAGCCCGTGGTGATCGTGACCCAGCCCAACTACGGGGCGGCACCCCAGATGTCCAACTGGCAGACGGGCATGTGCGACTGCTTCAGCGACTGCGGAGTCTGTAAGTGCGCGCTCGCACGTGTGTGCGTGTGTGCGTGTGTGCACGTCTGTGCGCACGTGTCAACCATGTGAGTGTGTGTGCTTGTGTGTGTGACCACCGCTGACCTTAACAGATGCGTGAGGACCAGGAGACAGGCCAGGGGTCAAGCACTTGCCTTGCAGGAGGCCACGGGGGGTTCGATCCCCAGCACCACATAGGGTTCCCCAAGCATCACCAGGAGTGATCCCTGAATACAGAGCCGGGGGTAGGCCCTGAGCACCACGGGTATGGCCGGATGCTCTTTCCATGCCAAGAGCAACCCTGCTTCAAGATTGACACACACTCCAGGAACAGTCCTATTCCTGGAGTCAGCTCAGGAGTTAAATAGCACCCAGTGCAGGTGGCCAACCCAGATTCAATCCCCAGCATCCCAAAATCAAAATAAAGAAATAAAATAGAAGCCTACTTTCCAAGGTACAGTTCTTTTTGAAAGGACTGGGTAGGAAGAAGGAAAAGCTACTATAAAGATGAGCAAGAGGGGTTGGAGCAATAGCACAGCGGGTAGGGCGTCTGCCTTGCACATGGCCAACCCGGGTTCAATTCCCAGCATCCCATATGGTCCCCCGAGCACCGCCAGGAGAAATTCCCTAGTGTAGAGTCAGGAGAAATTCCTGTACATCTCCGGGTGTGACTCAAAAAGAAAACAAAATACCTGAATAAAAGTGCTGAGGCCAGGCTTGGTGGCAGGATGCATGGCAGAGCGCGCTCCCGGGGCTGCTGTGTGCTCGGGCAGCAATAGCTACACTGTGTGTGGGCGCGAGTAACGGGCTCTGCTCTCCCGCCCGCAGGTCTCTGCGGCCTGTTCTGTTACGAGTGCCTTGCCTGCCAGGTGGCAGGTGACATGAATGAATGCTGCCTGTGCGGGACCAGTGTCGCCATGAGGACCCTCTACCGGACCCGCTACGGCATCCCCGTGAGTCTCCTACCGTGAAGTCTCCCACCACTCTCAAAATAATGCTTACGAACAGGGAGCATTTGGTGCTGACCTCCTCTGAGTTTTCTACAAATTTCCTAGACGTGAACTCTTGTAGTCAGTGGCTGCAAAAAATCCTCTGGCTACAGTTTCTTTGAAAACACTAGAAGATAAACAACTTTGGGGTTGGAGAGATCGCACAGTGGGGAGGACGTTTGCCTTGCACGCAGCGGACCCGGGTTCAATTCCCAGCATCCCATATTGTCCCCCAAGCACCACCAGGAGAGATGCCTGAGTGCAGAGCCAGGAGTAACCCCTGTGCATCCGCGGGTGTGATCCTCGCCCCTCAAAAAAAAGTGTTGTGCCTGTGGTTTGGACATTTGATTCTGTCATTCACTAACAACACTGATGTACCTGAATCCCTTGACGTGGCTCCGTTTTTCTCATCTACCTCTTCTCCCCCGTTTCCCTTCACCGTTTCTTTCCTTCTCCTCCCTGTATTCTGGGGCCAAGGTTGATTCAGGTATTCCCCCTCTAAAACACTGCATTTCCTCAGAGTTACTCTACCACATAGAAGTGATTTCCTGTTTGTCCTTCTTCTGGCTTACTTCACTCAACATGGTAACTTCCAGTTCCATGCATGTTGCAGCAAATTTTATGATTTCATCATTTCTTAGAGTTGTCCAAGAATTCTGAGATTTCATTTCCTGAAACTCCTTTATTTTACCGTCCTGTTCATCATTTGGTTGGATGTCTTCTATTTTCACAGTATAGGAACTGCTGTCATAAAGACACCAAGATTTTGTGGAAGAATTCACAAATGCTCCCACACGTTGTCCTCTCTAGTTTCATCCAAATGAGTTCAAGAACCAATACATTTTGCTTCTCTTTCGAACTCATGTGAAAACCCCTGTTTCCAAGTAGATGGATTGTACATTTTTTTTTCTTTTGTGTCTTCACAGGGATCCATTTGTGACGACTTTCTGGTGACCCTTTGCTGTCCTCTTTGTTCTCTTTGCCAAATTAAGAGAGACATCAATAGAAGGAGAGCCATGCACGCTTTTTAAAAAACTCACGGTAAGTTCCAGAATCTATGGATTTTTGTTCCAAATATAAATGAGATGTTGCAAATGAGGCAATCTTTTGAATAACAAATCGGTCCTAGCAATTCTCAGGTCTCACACATGTTGTCTTATAATAAAGTAGACTTGAATTTTGTCTTCTGAAGAAGACATCTCTTTTCATTCTCTCGTGTGATGTAACACAGCACCAAAGCTTGGGCAGCATTAACAACAAAAATTGATTTCTTGTACCGTAGTGAAAGGGAGATACCTAGATCACCCTTGACCTCAGTGTTTACAGAGGAGAAGTACAGGGAAGGAAAGAAGTCAAGGAGGAAGAAGAAAATGGGAAGTAACGGGTAAAAAGGCACCAGGGCTTCAGTTATGCTGGTGGTCCGGGTGAGGGGTACAGTCAGATATCCAAAACACAGACTCAGGGGCCAGCACAGTGGATAGGGCGTTTGCCTTGCATGCAGCCTGGGTTCGATCCCTGGCATCCCCTAAGGTACCCTGAGCACCGCCAAAAGTAATTCCTGAGTGTAGAGTCAGAAGTAACCCCTGAGGTGTGACCCAAACAGAAAAAAAAAAAAGTCGACTGAAAACATTGCATCTAAGCTGCAACCACGGGAACTCTGTAACGTGTCTATCAAGTTCACAGGCGAAATGGAGAAGGAGTTGGGAGGAAATCTGGGAACACTGGTGGAGGGAAGATCACCTTGGTGGTGATTGGTGGAGGTGGGGAAGTTCAAGATCTACTGACAGACAGCTGAGATCCTCTGTGAGGTTCTTGCCTCACTCACCTTCTAGTCCCTGCCCCCTCCAGAGTTCAGAGAACTCCCAGAGGTCACCTCTCTTACAAGCAGTTCCTGAGGGGCGCCCTCACTATTTGATCTCTTATGAAACTGATCATCTCCCTAAGGTTTGATCTCCTAAAACTATCAGATTAGGTCTAGGGTTCAACACACACACACACACACACACACACACACACACACACACACACATTAATTATATAACAATATTTTAAGTCATATTTTAGTAAAGTAGATGAATGGTGACTTTTCTAAATTTCTCAGAATCTCCTTGGTTTATCGATAAAGCATTTTCTACTTCTAAAATGCCAGAGAGAAGGAAGACGTAGAAAATGTGCTCCTTTCCAAGACAAACTGACAGAAGAAACTAGCAATTACTAAACAATAGAGCAAACAAAAATTACCTGTTAAGAGAACTGACTGGGGCATAAAGCATTCACCAACAATGAGGGAAGGTTGAGCAGAAAATCCCTGTTGGAAAAGGTGAAGTCTGAAGGAGGGATATAGGATTTATTTTTTGAAATGTGATTTTGAATTTCACCTTTCAAAATTTAGTCATGTTCAACTGTGTTTTCCAAGATTTTCAGAAATAGCTCTCAAAGATTTAGTAAAATAGGAGTTGAAATCAATACATGAGTCCAGTATAGGATATATCTTGAGTATGGACAGAAAACATTAGGATTTTCATTGTTGGCAATATTTACTTCCTTTCTCGAGTGAAGGAGGACTTTTGTAAAATAACTCTTGGGAGATCTGTTAACACATTAATTCATTTGAAATTAAAGTATCAAATACCTAATATTATGTAGGTCTTGGTGCCATGAGGTAGAGGAATAATTAATCTTCTTCTCCTGTTAAACAAGCCCCTAAATAAAACACAGAGTTTAACTACCAATACCTTTAGTCAAAGTGCTATTTTATGATCAGAGAAAAAAAAGAGTCTTTCTCCTTTTACTGCTTTGAAGTATCTATCTCAGTGTTCCTAGCTTTGACTCAGCTGGGACCATACAATATTGATCAACCAAAAAAATACTCCCAACTTTAGAGATCAAATAACTGAAATGGGAGAATAAAGAGATAAATACCAAATGGTAATATGTTTTTGTTAAAAATAGATTGAGCACTGAGTACAACCTGGTGTGACCCAATAACTAATTAAAAAAAAGAAATTGATTAAATAAATGAAACAAAAATGGCTTGCAACAAAGGAACAAAGGACTCAACTATTAAAAAAAAAAGCTCACAATAACCAACATTGGAAAAATTTGAGAACTAAATCTAAATAGGGTAATGCTGGATTATAACTCAATTAAATACCTGAGTTCTGCTATGAATACATGATCAAGTAAACAGACAAGTGGAAACTAGACAAACATCTCAGAACTACAGAAAAAAATTCTGCTTATAGATACCCCTCCTTCAAGTACACGGAGCACTCATCACCCTAGTCCTTCTGAGTGAAGTGAGTTTGTATAGTCAATTTTTTCCCTAAGAATATAATATCTAAGAAAGGGGTTGAGGAGAGAGAAAGGGAACCTTTACAATGGAAAAAACTATCAAAACGACTTAAGAGATTGTTAAAATTAACCTTATCCAGGTTGTTTGACGCCCCCCCCCACTGTGCACCTCAAATCCAAGTGTAGCTCCCCCAAGAAGTTAATTTGATTATGATAAATTCTACCTAGACCCCTTAAAGGGTGTGATGTGAATGGCACTTTATCTTGGTATTCTTTCCTCTCCATCCTACAATTCTAGTCTACTCTTGAGAAATAAACATCAGACCAATCCAAACTGAGGCATAGTCTCTGGCTTGGCAAGCATTCCTCAGAACTGCCAAGGTCATTGAAAACAGGGAGCATCCAAGAAATGATCACAATCGCGGGTCATGGGCCCAAGGGAAGTTGATGCCTTTGAAGGCACGCGCTTTCCTGGATGGGATCTCAGAGCAAGAAAGGGGCACTTGAGCAACCTGTATAAAGTATGCACTTGGACGACTCATAATGCATCAACATTGCTTCCTGGGGATGAGAAATCTACAGCCATACATGTTGATGGGCGAGAGGATGCACGGAGCACAGGGAACTCTCTGGACTGTCTTTGCAACGCTTCTAAAATCTAAATAATTATAAGTCAAGTTTAGGTGGGTTGAGAATACGCAACTTACTTTTGTGTGTCTTTATAGGTGAAGAGTTCTTCACGAAGTGACTAAAATCAGAAGACCTCCTCAGCTTGACTACTTCTCCACCTTTCGCAATTGAAATCTGATCGATATGTCTAACCATAATAATGATGCTATTATGAATTTTTCCTTTGGGTCACAGCCAGCTGTGCTCAGGGGTTACTTCTGGCTCTGCACTCAGGGACCACTACTGGAGGTGCTTGGAGGAACCATATAGGATCCGAAAGATCAAACCAGACTCAGCCCATACAAGACAAATGCCCTCCCCACTATACTGTCACTCTGGCCCTGGATTTTTTAGTTTTTTAAATTTCCCTTAGTTTTACTAAACCGTCCAGCTTAGTTTCTCCTTCCTTTCCTATTCTTACATGTCTGTCTTATGAATTTTGTATTTCATCTAAATTTAGACCTAATAAAAGATGCTACTAATTTTAACCTTTATTTCTTTGCTCTCAATAACATATCTAAAGTCATTGGTTAATTTTACAAGTCAGTTCCACAATTTTGTCTAGTACTTTGCTTTCTTTACAAGAGATTTTTGTCCACGCAACACCCGTCTCTTTCATCTAAGAACTTTGTGAGTGGATTGGGGTAGAGGGTGGGAAAGCTATAGAGAGCTAATAAAAGACACATAATGTCCTTTAGCCAAAAGTTTGCTTTCATGTTTGTCCTATGAATATTACAAAGCAATATTTACTGATTTCCAGCTGCCTATCTGATGCTTTGTGTTTTTTTTTTTAAATTTTTTTGTTCCAGGCATCATACCTAAGTTTCACATGCAAGGAAAGTGCTCTACCACTCTCTTTCTTTTTTAATAGGACGCATCAAGCAAGTAATAAAAACTCAATTCTCAAATTCAATGTGGCTTAATTCAACACGACTTAGTTTCATTATCTTCCAATACAGACGTACATACATAGAAACATCTGTTGATGTTTTTTGTTCTGTCCCTGTGCAACAACGTCCTGATGAAAATCTTTTCTCCTCATCACTTTTAATTTTCCTCCTACACCTTTTTTTTTTTTTTTTGGAGAGTCAGGGCTAACTCCTGCCTCTGTGCTCAGGGATCACTTCTGTTGGGGCTCAGGGGACCATATGTGGTTCCAGAGATCAAATTCATGTTGGCTACATGCAAGGCAAGGCCTACCTCCCTTACTATTACCCTAGACCCTACTATTACTCTAGACCTTCCTCCTTTTGCTTCTGATAGGATCTTCTTTTCTCCATGAGTCTAGCTAAGGTCTGTCAATCTTGTTTATTCTTTACGGGAGTGAGGGAGTGAGGGAGCTATTCATTCCATTGATCTTTTGTATATTCTTGTATAGTTTTTTTAAAATAAATTTGTATATTCTTTGGTATATTCTTTTATAATTAAAAAGGCATATTCTTTTGTAATTTTTTAATTTAAGAAAACCTTGATTTACGAAGTTATCTGTAGTTGAGTTTTAGTCATATACTATTTCAGCACCAATCCAACCACAGTTGTTCCCTGCCCCTCATCTGCCATCTGGTGGTCGCAGCTTAATCTCAGGCTTTCTGTGCTGCGGGGTCTGTGCTTGGATGTGTAACTCTCCCACCCTCGTACATTGTCAACCGAACTGCAGCCCAGACCCCTCTTCCCTATTACTTCCCTTTCTCATCTTCTTCCATGGCAACCCCCAGATTTCTTTCCTTCTTTTTTCCTTCTTTCTGAGCACTGGGGTCAAGGGTATCCCCCCTTAACTGCTTTCCCCCTTCCCTCATCCAGTATTCTATATGCACAGATAAGTAAGATCACTTGTGTTTGTCTTTCTTCTGCTGGCTTACTTCACGCGACATGTTATCTTCCGGTTCCAACCAGGTTGCAACTTGCTTGATTTCATTTTTCCTGTCAGCTGGGCAGCAGTTCATTGTGTGTATACACCACATCTTCAGAATCCATCCACCTGCCATCAGACGCCCAGGCTGATTCCATATCTTAGCTACTGTGCTGAGTGCAGCAGTGAAAAACGGAGTGCATCTGTTCTTTTGAGAGAGTGTTTGTGAAGTCCTGGGGATAGATGCCCCATTTGGAACCACTGGGTCATATGGCAGCTCGATTCTAAGTTCACTGAGGACTTTCTGTACTGTTTTCCACGGAGTTGAACCAGACAACACGCCCACCAGCAGTAAATCAAAGTCCCTTTCCCACCACATCCTTGCCAACACAGACTTTTTCCTACTATTTTTGATATGTGCCATTCTCACTCAAGTTAGATGATATTTCATTATAAATCTCACGATCTTTGTGTTCTGTATCACATCCACTCCAGTTTTTATTATTTTCATCATTCCATTTACTTGAGTGCTTTCTTGAAATGCAAGATTGGGCACTTTATTCCAGGCTCCGTGTGTGTGTGTGTGTGTGTGTGTGTGTGTGTGTGTGTGTGGAAACATTCTATAATCTTCAATTGGATCTGGTTCAGCTGTGTGTGTGTGTGTGTGTGTGTGTGTGTGTGTGTGTGTTTTAGGAAACATTCTATAACCTTCCGATTGGATTTGGTTCAGCTGACGTGTGTGTGTGTGTGTGTGTGTGTGTGTGTGTGTGTGTGTGTTAGGAAACATTCTATAACCTTCCAATTGGATCTGGCCCTGGACTGTGACCTTCAGAAGTGTCAGCCTCGCTTTTCTTCTCGTAAACGAGACTGGGGGGCTCCACTCCCCCGTTGGCAGTGCCTCATTCCATGGCGCAGAGTTAAGCAACCTTTCTATCCTGTCCTTTCTTCACCCCCTGTATCACTGCATTCTAGCAAGTTCTTCCCTGTCCTCCCATCACAGAACAAGAGCTTCCCCAAATCTCAGACTGCACACGAGGCCTGGCCTTTCCCTCCACATTAGCTTGCAGGGATTGTGGGCAGTGCTGGGGATCCGTGCACAACTAACTGCCCAACACTGTCCGACCGTGAGGATGCACGTGAGGTTGGATAATCACAAGCAAGAGGAAAACAGCCATCCCGTTCTTCCTCAGGACCGTCCTCCCTGGAACCACGGTTTCCGCTGTCGGAGTCAGCGCAGAGGCCTCCAAGGCTGCCGCCCTCGGGTTAGGCACAAGTGCCCCCAGCCCACCCTTCCAATGAACCTTGCCTGAGCCAAGAATGCTGTCCTCTCATTAAACGTCTATTTCCAAGAGCCAAAGAATGTGGGGTCCATGACCCTGTGAATGCAATTTTCTGGTAGAGCTAAGAAAAAAAGCTTCCAAATATATTTGGCTTACTGGTCCCTTTTGAGGAAAAAAATAAATAACTCATCCCTCCTACCCCATTCCCAGAAAGCTACCTTCTTCAAGCAAGGCTAGCACCTTACCCTTGGATCTTTTGCTGCACCCCTGGGAGCAGTATGCCCACTTTGGGGAAAACTGAGCTAAAAAAGCCACTGACGGTTAGCCTGACAATGTTTTTTCTTCTGAAGATGAAGTGATGATTCAAACTCTATACACCTTGGAGTGAAAAGTGAAGTTGGCCACCAACTTGTAATTTGCAAGTCCTTCCCCCATTTCTCTATACAGCAAGGCAGAAATTACCTTCTCTTGTGGGCAAGTGTCTCATCACTCTGCTAAGTTACACATACTCTCCTTTAGCTTTCTGGCGCTTGGGCTTGGCTAAAAGGCACTGGGACTAATGCCCAAGTTTCTCGTACAGGGTATCAACTCAGTGTCGATGGAGAGGGAGAAGGATCAACAACGTTCACTAATTAAAAACAACACTCCTTTTATTCGGCTCACTTCACCGTTTATTAGAATAATCACATTTGGAGGCACAAGCACTTCAATTTTACATGACTACAAAGTTATCACAAATCCCAAACCTTTTAGCCACAGATATTTCACTCAGTTTAAAGAAAAAGCCTTCAAAACATCTGAGTTAATTTGATACATGGAGAACCTGAATATATAAGAACTACATTATTTCCAAATGCTGCACTTCTTGCTCTACAAATGTCGGCTTTAAATGGAATCTGGCATAAAAGGGACTGAAATAGTAACGTCAGGATGCAAATGCTTTGGAGCGTGAAGTTGACCTGGACAACGTGGAGAAGGATGTAGTGTGCACCCACGCTCGGGAGGACTCACTGGGCCATCTGGGCCTCCATGGCCTGGGCCGTCCACTCTGGCGCCGTCTGGCTGATTTTTTCCAGGAGTTTATTCACCTGGAAACAAAGTGACTGGATCTGTTTGTCCCAAGTTGGCAGGGCTTCTCTTGCTAAAGAAAGAAGGAACAAAATGCAGAGCTGAAGTCACCCTCCTCTGTACTACTCAGAAAGGTGAGTTAAAATATACATACAGTGGTAGTGATTTTTACTCCAAAATCATGACTAATAAAATCAAACTAAGAGTCAAGCAAAGTGGCCAAATCATAAAAAAAAAGTCATTTTATGGCTTAAACCATTAAAACAAACCCATACATTGACGGAAACAAATTATTACTTAAGAAAACAGAATAGACCAAGCACAGCTCCCACAAAGGCAGAGAGGGCCGGGATCCCTGCACCACTGCCCTGAGTGGTCTGACACTGCCACCTACTGGGGAGGCAAGTCCACTCGCAAGGTCAAGGTTGTTCCTACTACACTCTGAACAACATTTAAGCAAAACCCCAAACAATCTCATCAGGAATCCACAGGGTTTTTCTCTACCTAGCACCAGGTAAGAGAGAGTGATCATGTCGGGGCCAGGAGACACTGAGGGACCGGGGTGGTCCCAAGTTCGATCCCCAGCACTACTGGGCGCCCCCAAGCACCACACCGAGAGCAGGCCCCAAACAAGCAGTGGCAGAACCGTGGCACCTGCAGAGTGGAAGACCATCACTCAGCCTTAGAATACTGATCACACGCTACAGTATGAACGAAAACCGGAAAGAACTATGTTGAGAGATAACGTTATAGTCCCATGATTCCAAGCCTGTCTTCACAGAAAGACAATCTTTATCGACACATATGCCCATATACATATAAGCGTAGCTACGCAAATCTGTATCTAGAGTCATCTACACATATACCAATATTTAAGCATGTAAGGACAGATATTTACCCATATATATACCCACCTGTATATAGATATTGCCATTTCCAAGTCTCTAGATATATACCTATATTCATCTATACAGTCATCCATATATACATAATATATCCCCAGAATAAATCCAGAAAAAACAAAATGCAGATTGGTGGTTGCCAGGGCCCAAGCAGAGGAAGGTTTGGCAAATAACTGCCTAATTAGGGTGGAGTTCCTTTCCGGGAGCTGAAACTTTGTTTTGTTTTGAGGCCATTCCCGCTGGTGCTCAAGGGACCATGCATCAAAGCAGGGCTGTCCTGGTTAAACCACATACAGGAAATGCTTTAACCCCTGTACTGTCTCTCCAGCCCCAAAAACATTTGGGCACTAAGCTGGCATTACCCACTACATCCCACTGATCACTGAAACAACATCTGGGAGCCCAGGGCGCTGCGCTCGGTTCCAATGCCCAGAATCTCCCAGACCGAGGGTGTGTGCAGATACCCCGCGTGCAAGCCTGGGCAACACAACCAAGGGAAAGAAGGAAGTAAAAAGAAGGGTAAGAGTCAGATAAAATGATTTATGTCATATAAATTTCAAGACAATGAAATAAATTGCAACGGGAAGGTAAGAGCTGATTTACAGAGAGGAACATTCACTACTAGTCTATTTCCGAGACACTGTCCTTGACCACCGGAGCCAGGCGGAGTACAGAAACAAATCCAAAGTAGTCCTGGAACATTCTGTCAGTGATGAGCCACACAGAACAGCTGTCCCTAAATGAGCCTCTCTGTAGAGTGAACGATACCGAATAGGGTTGAGCGCAGAGCCAGGAAGATGCCCTGGGAACATCCAGGCATGGCCCCATAAAACGAAAAAGAAAGAGGTACCAAGGACCATATAGGACCCTGAAAGACCATGATTTTGTTTCACAAGCAGTGGGGAAGGCCATTTGTTAGAGCCCAAAGACGAGAGCAATGTGATTTCAAGTTTTTTCTCTATTTATTTGTATTTTTAAGAGACTGCAATCACTCTGGTCAGTTTGAGACATTGGACTAGGAAGGGGCATGTGGTAACGAGAGGAAAATCGTGAAGTGGCTAATTCTCACCCAGGAGGATTTACAAAAACTCAGAGTGAGCTGGTGGTAGGGAGAAATATAAAGACCATGTGGACTCCAGATAACTATCAACGGAAAAATGGAAAGAACTGTCACCAGGGAAGAAAAGTGACCAAGGATAAGCAATACTCAAGGAGGGCTGGAGTGACAGGCTAGCAGGTTGGGCGCTTGCCTAGAATGTGGTTGACCCGGGTTTGACCCCCGACATCCCATATGGTCCCCACAGCCCCGCCAGAAGGATTCCTGAGTGAAGAGCCAGGAGTAGCCCCTGAGCACCACCAGGTGTGGGCACCCCCATCTCAAAAAATTTGAAGGAAATGAACAATGCAGTTTGGGGGTGAACCACTGGCAGGCAGGAAGGAAAAATTTGTTCATTCTGAGATACTTACAGGATAATCAGGTGGGAAACTCCCATCCGTTAATGAGAGCCACTAGGTTGGGAGTTCAAGAGAAATGTACACTTGAAAGGTGAATCTAAACATTGCCTACCTCAAGACAGTAACAGAATCCAAAAGAATAGATGATACCACCTAAAACAACTTGGTAGAGTGAGGAGGAAAGGGCCTTGGAAAAACACCTGATAAGGCAGAAATGCATCTGGACCCCACAGTAGATTACTGTCGCCAGGTAACTCCAGGGGGGAAAGGGTGTTGTCCCTCCGCCTGCTCTCCCTAGGCGGCTTGGTGGCCGCCATCCTCTAGAGGCCATTGGACAGTCAGGTTTGGGCCCTCAGTGACGATACACGTGGGGCCTCACAGAATGGGGGTGGAGCTGGCCCTTTCCTCCCTGTCCCAACGAGACCCCAAGTCGCTACCCAAGAACGGCCTTTCAGGCTCCTGATCAAGCTGCTTAACAGCCATGATCCCAGAGACTCAGGAACAAATCTTGGAACACAGCAGGTTTTGGCAGAAATCCCTCCAGCTTTAAGTGTTAAAATTTCGGAATTTCAAAATCGCGCAGCCACTACTGCAGCCACGCGGCATCATATGTTCTTCATAACCAGCAATAGAAAACAAATTGTCCACTGTTGCCTTTTCAGCAGATCTGAATGTTGGGGTAAAATCCCAAATAATAATGGTGGGTCTGGTGTCAAAATATTGAATGTAATCAAAATAGAGAGAGAGTAATGTGGAAATCATCTGCCCCACAGGTAGGGGGAGGGTTTGGGATGGGGGATATTCTGGGGTTTTTGGTGGTGGAGAAGGGGCACTGGTAAAGGTACAAGTGTTTCATTGTATGACTGAGACTTAAACCCGAAAGCTTTGTAACTGCTCTCACTGTGATTCAATAAATAAAATTATAAAAAATGGGGAAAAAAAGAAAAAAAAATACCTGATATAAGCAACCACAGTGTGACACTGTTGTTTCGGGGGCCGGGTTGTTGTGGGGGTGGGCCACAACTGGCGTGCTCAGGGTTTACTCCTGGCTCCCGGCTCAGGGATCACTCTTGGTGGTGCTCATGTGATCATGTGCAGTACGGGAGATGGAACTGGGCCAGCGGCAGCCAATCCGTCTCTCCGTGGCTCTCAGTATGTCTTCATCACAAATATACGACCATGCACGGCCAGTTCAATCTGACAGAAATAAGCAAACCCTCTTACTTTCAAAGTGAACTATCCCATCAATCTGATCGATGAATCCATTCATCAGTTCTTCTGTTATCATTTGTGATGCTATCTTTTCTGCCTTTAAACACAGAAACAAAAAACTCTTAGTAATATTATGGTAGGGCTGGAGCGATAGCACAGCGGGTAGGGCGTTCACCTTACACGCGGCCAACATGGCCGACCCGAGTTCGATTCCTCCGCCCCTCTCGGAGAGCCCGGCAAGCTACCGAGAGTATTCGATATGCCAGACACAGTAACAACAAAGTCTCCAATGGAGACGTTACTGGGCCCACTCGAGCAAATCGACGATCAACGGGAGGGCCTTTACCTTTACCAATATTATGGTATCAAACATTCACACAAGACAAAAGAACTGACTGAAAGAGCTTGGTTCGGCTCGCCAGCGCTAAACTTTACTTCTATGTTCATCTATTTCCTGTTCATATTTTATTGCTCATTAGAATCTGTTTTTCTTATTCAGAGATAATGAATTTTTAAAAAAGTTTTCTTATCAAAATTTTTCTATGCTCCCGTCCCTCGGACCCGGGGCTAGGATTCCACCGTGCAAGTGTCTGGAGGCGTCCCCCGGACGCTGGGAGGAAAAGTTGATCTGAGCCTGTCTGCCTGTCCCCTTCTGTCGCCCAAGCCGAGCCGGTCTCTTTTCCCCCACCCCCCAGTTCAATCAAATCAAGAAATATTACCCCTACACATACACAACAGCATGAAGAAACAACACAAATCCCCGCCACAGGGGGATACTTACGAGGAAGTAAGTACAGAAGCCTCAGTAGGTGCTAGCCACTTTAGGGACCTCTCTGACAAGGAACTCAGATATGAAGTCATCAAGATGTTCAATCAACTCGATGAAACAGTCACGCAGATATCTGCTAAATTGAAAGAGGACATGAAAGAAACAATCAATCACACAATTGACAAAATACAGCAAGAAATGAGAGCCGAAATTGGAAAGCTTCGCACAGAAATGGCACACATCACAGATTCCACAGATGAAGTCAAATCCTCACTCACTGCCCTCAAAAATAGAATGACCACAGCTGAGGAAAGAATCAGGGACTTGGAAGATCAGCTGCACCAAGCCAACAGACAACAACAAACAATGGCAAGAGACCTCAAAATAGCTCAAGAGCGAATCAGAGTCCTATGAGACTATTCCAGAAGAAACAACATAAGAATCATTGGACTATCAGAAGCTCAGGGAAACAATCCCAGTGAAAAAACCATGCTTAAACAAATTATCACCGAAAAATTCCCAGAGCTCCACAATACAGCCATTCAGATTGAAGAAGCCTGAAGGGTGCCAGCTAAAAGAGACCCCAACAGAAACACTCCAAGACACATTATAATTAGAATTTTCAATGCTGCCGATAGAGACACAATACTGCAAGCAGCAAGGGCAAAAAAGGAAATCACATACAAAGGAGCACCCCTGAGATTCACAGCAGACCTATCAGAGGAAACCCTACAAGCCCGAAGGCAGTGGCGAGATATAGTCAAAAAACTCACTGAAATGAATGCTTCACCAAGAATACTCTATCTGGCTAAGCTCTCACTCAAAATAGACGGAATGCTACACTATTTTCTAGATAAACAGCAGCTCAGGAACTTCATAGACTCAAAACCAAATCTAAAACAAGGACTAAAGGGGCTACTATAAGACAAGACAAACCCTACAACCACAACACACCCGCACAGAAACATGACACAAAACCCCATAACCATACTCTCTCTCAATGTCAATGGTCTAAATTCATCATTGAAGAGACACAGAGTGGCAAAATGGATACAGAGACAGAACCCAACATTCTACTGCCTACAAGGAACTCATCTCAACACTCAGAGCAAACACAGACTCAAAGTCAAAGGATGGAAAACAATCCTGCAAGCAAACAGCTCCTGTAAAAAAGCTGGGGTGGCCATACTAGTATCCGACAACATTAATTTCACCTTGAAAAAGACTAGAAGGGACAGTGAACGCCATTTTCTATTCATCAAGGGATATGTACAACAGGAAGAAATCACACTCTTAAATGTATATGCACCTAATGAGGGAACAGCTAAATATTTAAAACAACTGCTAACAGATTTTAAGGAGGACATTGCAAGCAACACAATAGTACTTGGAGACTTCAACATTGCCCTATCACCTCTGGACAGATCAACAAGAACAAAACCCAGCAAGGAATCATTGGCTTTGAAAGAAGAAATAGGAGAGGGCTTATAGACCTATACAGGGCTTTACACCCCCAAAAGAAAGAATACACATTCTTCTCCAGTGCACACGGAACATTTTCCAAAATAGACCATGTGCTAGGACACAAAACATACCTCAACAGAATCAGGAATATAGAAATAGTATCAGCCATCTTTTCAGACCATGATGCACTGAGGATAGAAGTGAATCACACACAGACACGGAGAACCAAATCAAACACCTGGAAATTAAACAACTTGATGCTGAACAACGAGTGGGTCAGGAACAAAGTAAAGGACGAAATCAAAAGATACTTGAAAAAAATGAGAATGAATACACGAGCTACCAGAACCTATGGGATGCAGCGAAAGCTGTATTAAGGGGAAAATTTATAGCTCTGCAAGCATATCTTGGGTCTGTAGAAATAGTGCACATAAACAACTTGACCTCACAGCTCAAGTCCTTAGAAAAGGATCAACAGAAAGAGCCTAAATCAGGCAGAAGGAAAGAGATCATAAAACTTAGAGCAGAAATCAATGACATGGAAACCAAAGAAACAATCTGAAAGATCAATGAAACCAAGAGCTGGTTCTTTGAGAAAATAAACAAGATAGATAGACCACTCGCAACACTCACAAAGAAACAGAGAGAGAGAACCCTAATAAACCGAATCAGAAATGAGAAGGGGGATATCACAACAGAAACCAAAGAAATCCAAAAGATCATCAGAGACTACTTTGAAAGTCTGTACGCCACGAAACAAGAGAACCTAGAAGAAATGGACAAATTCCTGGACTCCTATAATCTCCCAAAGCTGAATCAAGAAGACCTGGAGTATCTGAATAGACCTATTAACATCAACGAAATAGAAACTGCAATCAAAAGTCTTCCCAAAAACAAAAGCCCAGACCCAGATGGATTCACTAGCGAATTTTTCCAAACATTTAAAGAGGACCTGCTGCCAGTCCTTCTCAAGCTCTTTCAGGAAATTGAAAAAACAGAAACTTTCCCAAACAGTTTCTATGAAGCCCATATCTCTCTAATACCAAAAGGAAACAAAGACACCACGAGAAAAGAAAACTACAGGCCGATATCCCTGATGAACACGGATGCGAAGATTCTCAATAAAATACTAGCAAATAGAATTCAACTACTCATCAAAAAGATCATACACCATGACCAAGTAGGATTCATCCCGGGGATGCAAGGCTGTTTTAACACTCAGAAATCAATCAACGTAATCCACCATATCAACAAAAGAAAAGATAAAAATCATATGATCATATCAGTAGATGCAGAGAAAGCATTTGACAAGATCCAGCACCCATTTATGATGAAAACCCTAGACAAAATGGGGATAGAGGGGACTTTTCTCAATATAGTTAAAGCCATCTACCACAAGCCTACAGCAAGCATCGTCCTCAATGGCGAAAAACTGAGAGCCTTCCCTCTAAGATCAGGGACGAGACAAGGATGTCCATTCTCTCCACTGCTGTTCAATATAGTACTGGAAGTACTTGCAATAGCGATTAGGCAAGAAAAAGATATTAGGGGCATCCAGGTAGGAAAGGAAGAAATCAAGCTCTCACTATTCGCAGATGATATGATACTATAGTTGGAAAACCCTAAGACCTCTATCAAGAAACATCTAGAAACAATAGGCTTGTACAGTAAAGTGGCAGGCTATAAAATCAATACCCAAAAGTCCATGGCTTTCCTATATGCAAATAGTGAAAGAGAAGAAAGAGACATGAAGAAAACAATCCCATTCACAATTGTGCCCCAGAAAATCAAGTACCTAGGAATCACCTTAACTAAGGAAGTAAAGGACCTGTACAAAGAAAACTACAAAACTCTAATTCAGGAAATAAAAGAGGATACGAGGAAATGGAAAAATATCCCGTGTTCATGTATCAGGAAAATTAACATTGTCAAAATGGGAATACTTCCCAAAGCACTGTATAAATTCAACGCAATTCCTATTAGGATACCCATGACATTCTTCAAAGAATTGGAGCAAACACTCCTGAAATTTATATGGCACAATAAGCCCCCACAAATAGCTAAAGCAATTCTTGGGAAAAAGAAAATGGGAGGAATCAACCTCCCTAACTTCAAACTCTACTACAAAGCAGTAATAATTAAAACAGCATGGTACTGGAACAAAGGCAGAGCTGTAGACCAATTGAACAGGGTTGAATATACTGACTCCCCCCCCCCCCCCCGCCCAAGCATACGAGCATCTAATCTTCGATAAGGGGGCAAGAAAAGTGAAGTGGAGCAGGGATAGCCTCTTTAACAAATTATGTTGGCAAAACTGGATGGCTACATGCAAAAAAATGGGCTCAGATCTCTGCCTAACTCCATGTACAAAAGTAAGATCTAAGTGGATTAAAGACCTCAATATCAGACCGGAATCTATAAGATACATTGAGGGAAATGTTGGCAAAACCCTTCATGAAATAGAAGCTAATGGTGTCTTCAAAGATGTAACACCGCTGGCCAGCAAGTGAAAACAGAGATAGACAAATGGGACTATCTTAAACTAAGAAGCTTCTGCACCTCAAAACAAACAGTGACCAAAATACAAAGACAGTCTACAGAATGGGAAAGGATATTCGCCAACTACACATCTGATAAGGGGTTAATTTCAAGGATAAACAAAGTACTGGTTCAACTCCACAAAAAGAAAACATTCAACCCCATCAAAAAATGGGGAGATGAAATGAATAGAAATTTTGACAAAGAAGAAATCCGAATGGCTAAAAGACACATGAGAAAATGTTCCACATCATTAATCATCAGGGAGATGCAGATCAAAACCACAATGAGATATCACTTCACACCACAGAGACTGGCCCATATTCACAAGAACAAAAGCAACCGGTGCTGGCGCGGATGTGGTGAGAAAGGGACACTCCTTCACTGTTGGTGGGAATGCCGACTGGTTCAGCCCTTTTGGAAAACAGTATGCATGATTCTCAAAAAATTAGAAATTGAGCTCCCATTTTACCCAGCAATACCACTCCTGGGAATATATCCTAGAGAGGTAAAAAAGTATAGCCGAAGTGACATCTGCAATTGTCTGTTTATTGCAGCACTTTTTACAATAGCCAGAATCTGGAAAAAACCTGAGTGCCCGAGAACAGATGACTGGTTAAAGAAACTTTGGTACATTTACGCAATGGAGTACTATGTAGCTGTTAGAAAAGACGAAGTCATGAAATTTACATACAAGTGGTACTACATGGAAAGTATCATGTTAAGCGAAATGACTCAGAAAGAAAGGGATAGACATAGAAAGATTGCATTCATCTGGGGAACATAAAGTAAAAAAATAGGAAACTAACACCCAAGAATGGCAGAGATTAGTACCAGGAATTTTACTCAATGACCTGGAGGCCAACCACACATGTTAGGGGAAAAGGGAGCTCAGAAAGAGAAGGGAACACCAAATAAAGGGTGTTGGGAGGATCCTCCCAGGATGGGAGAAGCATGCTGAAAGTAGACTATCGACCAAACATGATTGCCACTCAATGCCTCTCTTGCAAACCACAGAACCCAAAAGGAGAGAGAGGGAAATGCCCTGCCACAGAGGCAGGGTGGGATGGGGGCTGCGGGGTGGCAGGGATACTGGGATCCGTGGTGGTGGGAAATGCGCACTGGTGGAGGGATGGGTGTTTGATCATTGTATAATTGAAACCCAAGCACAAAAATGTGTAAGTTTGCAGCTGTACCTCATGATGTCTCACTATAAAAAAAAAGTTTGGGTCTCTAGATTTCAAAAATAAATAAATAAATAAAATATGTATTCTATTACATATTTTGAGCAGAATAAAACATGCAACATTTAAAAATATTTTTCCTATGCTCAAAATCTAACATTTTTTTCTTCTCATTAAAAATGACTCTATGGGGCTGGAGAGATAACACAGCAGGTAGGGCGTTTGCCTTGCACGCGGCTGACCCAGGTTCGATTCCCAGCATCTCATATAGTCCCCTGAGTACCGCCAGGAGTAATTCCTGAGTGCAGAGCCAGGAGTAACCCCTGTGCATCGCCAGGTGTGACCCCCCCCCAAAAAAAAGACTCTAAAATTACTAAGTGGTGACTTAGTAATTTTAGTATTCTATTTTTACCATAATCCTAAATCCATCGTATTTTGTAATTAGTATTTACCATTAAAAATATATTCAATTTACTTAGTTACAACAACAGACCATAGCTTAAACCCTGTAGAAAACACGTTTTAATAGCAACGTAAGCATTGGTACTCAAATTATTGCACTCCTTTACTACATATTGGATGCGTATGAGTAAAGGAACTGTGTCAGAAAATCCTAAACTAAAAATTCTCTGAGAGAGAGAAGGCGATGGCACCATATTGCACGACTTTAGAGTTCCACTCTGTAGAAGTCCAGGGTGTTCTTGGACATGGGTTTCTCTCTCACCTCTCACACTTCTCTTAGTCAATTTTGTGAAATCAAAACAATTTTGATTCACTAAAAAAAAAAAAAGTTTTTTAAGTAATAAAAAGTGATTTCCTGGAGCTGGAGTGTAGGGCGTTTGATTGCACACGGCCAACCCAGGTTCCATTCCCAGCATCTCATATGGTCTCTTGAGCACCACCAGGAGTAATTCCTGAGTGCAGAGCCAGGAGTAACCCCCGAGCATCGCCGGGTGTGACCCAAAAAGCAAAAATAAATAAATAAATAAAAATAAAAGGTGATTTCCTTACTTTTATCATAATTTAAAATTGAAAAAAAATTCTTTGCCACACCTAGCAGTTCTCAGGGCTTACTCCTTGCACTGCACTCAGGTATTACTCCTGGCAGTGCATGGACAGAATTCTGAGGTGCCGGAGACCAAACCCAGGAGCTGCATGCAAGGCAAGCATCCTGACCAGTCTACAATCACTCTGACTCCCCAAGTTAAGAGAACATTTATAACTGCTAATTGAAATGCTACCCGAATGCTACTGGCATTATTTTGAATTGAGAGTATGTTTTGTAAATGGTACCTGAAATACCTTCTAAATACTCCCAGTCAGACTAGAGTGATAGTACAGCTTGCCTCGCATGTGACTGACACAAATTCAACCTGTGGCACCCCACAGAGTCACAAAAACCCATCAGGAATGATTCCTAAGTGCAGAGCCAGGAGTAAGCCTTGAACACTGCTGGGTGTGCCCCCAAAACAAAAAAATAGAATACTACCAATGTCCTGCTGGAATTTATAACAATCAACCAACTCCTGATCGTGACTAAGAATGAAAACAATTCTGTAATAAACTCAGGTCAACTTCTTTAGCTAAATCAAGCATAGAAGTTACAACAGAATAGGATGGAGTGTAACTGCTGTCCTTCTCTCAGAATCTAAATGACATTCACCTATGAGTCAAGCTAGAGCTTGTATTTTAAAAGGCAGGTATGAAAATCTCAAGGTAGAAGTCAGAAACCACTTGATTTAAACAGACACTGAAAAGATTCTCACAAAATTGATAGCAAAACCTGGAAACGCCGTGAGTTCTATTTCAGGTCCCTTCCTTTATTATAAACTATAATTTATTCAGAAGAGGAACAGAGAGGAAGCTCCAGGGCTTGGAACAACGTACCATGCATGCAGACCTGAGGAGCCTGGCGCCAGCACTCCATGGTCCCACACCCCACGTCCCCGAGGATGGAACTGGAAGGCCCAGGGTCAGGCAACTCCACCACAGTACCAGTTCAACACTCAAGAAATGATTTACTTTCATTTACCAGATTCTCTTTAATATGTATTTTGTTGAACACATCCTATTTATCTTTTTGGAAATAGCTGTCGATGTTTAAAAATTGTATCTTTTAATTTGGTCATTTTAGATTCTTCTGTTTGTTGCAAAGTTAGGAATCAAACCCAGAGCCTCACATGTTTCTTTTGCTTTTTACCTTAGTGGCTAGGGGACAGTGGGGTGGCAGGAACTGAACCCGGGGATCATGCATGCAAAGTACACATTCCAGCTCTCTAGAGTCATCGCCCCAGCCCTAATTTCCATTTCGTGTTCTTGTTATCTTATATCGGAAACAATACCTTAGCTGCAGGGATTTCCAGAAGAGCTCCAAGTTCTTCAAAGGCAATATTACTAAATAATTTGCTTGTAGATAACAAATTGTCTTCAATAACAGCTCTGTCTAAAATGCTAGAACCTGGGGCTGGATCAATAGCACAGCAGGTAGGGCGTTTGCCTTGCATGCAGCCAACCTAGGTTCGATTCCCAGCATCCCATATGGTCCCCCAAACACCGCCAGGAGTAATTCCTGAGTGCATAAACCAGGAGTAACTCCTGTGCATTGCCGGGTGTGACCCAAAAAGAAAAAAAAAATGCTAGAACCTTCATTTCATAGACATAAGACAGTTACATTTAAAATTCATTTTACACTCTTAGATGCATCTTACATTTCTGAAATTTCTAGATACCAAGTAACTCATAATCACTATTCCTTTTGTAGAAGGTTTAAAAGTAACGAAAATTCTTACTTGATAATTAGGAAATCAGATAAATACAAATACCATATTTAGACAGGAAGCCATAGGTAACTCCTGACTAGCTGAACTCTCTTAACACTGCCTTTAGGGTTCTGCTTCCTTGAGGGCAGGCTAATGGATGTATCCACATTCCTTGCTACTAGTCACATGAGTAAACAGCAACAAAATGTCCTGCAAATGTTCTCTGAGCTCGATGAGGCGCCACAGTCACCTTGCTGTGCTACAGAACACATTCAGTTCGTCATTTCTCTATTCTCTGAACTCATTAAGTTCCAGTCATCTCTCTATTCTTTTGGACACTGCAGCAGCACCTTCCTCTGCGGTGCAGCGAGGAACGTTTGGGTGACCATGGGAGATCAGGCCGACCACCCTCCTGTGAGGTAGCACAGGGCCCTCTCCTCAAGGTATTAGATTCCTGGGCAGAAAAATGAGAACCAACTGGTAGCTTTTTATTATTTTTTTTATTTTTTTATGTAGGAATACTGCTATTTATTCAGACACTGATAAGCTGATTGAATTGGGCTTGAACTCCACCTTACTTTTTTTTTCATTTTTTATAATTTTATTTTTTGAATCACCGTGAGAGCAGTTACAAAGCTTTCAGTTCAAGCCTCAGTCATACAATGAAACACCCGTCCCTTCACCAGTGCCCATTCTCCACCTCCAACAACCCCAGTATACCCCCATCCCACACCCTCCTCCTACCTGTGGGGCAGATGATTTCCACATTACTCTCTCTCTCTATTTTGATTACATTCAATATTTTGACACCAGACCCACCATTAACATTTGGGATTTTACCCCAACACTCAGATCTGCTGAAAAGGCAACAGTAGACAATTTGTTTTCTATTGCTAGTTATGAATAACATATGATGTCGCGTGGCTGCAGTAGTGGCTGCGTGATTTTGAAATTCCGAAATTTTAACACTTAAATCTGGAAGGATTTCTGCCAAAACCTGCTGGGTTCTGAGATTTGTTTTTGAGTCTCTTGGATCATGGCTGTTAAGCAGCTTGATCAGGAGCCAGAAAGGCCGTTTGTGGCCGCGACTCAAGGTCTTGTTGGGACCGGGAGGAAAGGGCCGGCTCCACCCCATCCTATGAGGCCCCACCTGTCTCATCACTGCGTTCCCAAACCTGACTGTCCAATGGCCTCTGGAGAATGGTGGTCACCGAGCCGCCAAGGGGGAGCAGGCAGAGGGACAGCACCATTTTCCTCCTGGGGTGGCCCGGTGACAGTAACCTACTGCATGGTCCAGACACATTTCTGCCAAAAGCCACTGAGTTTCAAGATTTGTTTCTGAGTCTCTGAGATCATGGCCGTTAAGCAGCTTGATCAGGAGCCAGAGAGTCCGTTCATGGGCAAAGACTCAGGGTCTCATCAGGATGGGGAGGAAAGGGCCGGCTAAACTCCCATCCCATGAGGCCCCATGTGTCTCGTCACTGCGGGCCCAAACCTGACTGTCCAGTGGTCTCTGGAGTATGGCGGGCACAGGTCCGCCAGGGGGAACAGGCCAAAGCACGAAACTATTCCCACCTTGGGTGGCCCAGCACTGGTAAGCTACTGCAGGGACTGGACGCATTTCTGCCAAAAGCTGCTGGGTTCCACAATTTGTTTCTGAGTCTCTGGGATCATGGCCATTAAACGGCTTGATCAGGAGCCAGAGAGGCCATTTGTTGGCCGTGATTCAGGGTCTCTTGGGGTGGGAGGGAAGGGCTGGCTCCACCCCCATCCCATGAGACCCCACGTGTCTCATCACTGAGGGCCCAAACCTGATGGTCCAATGGCCTCTGGTGAATGGCAGCCACCGTGCTGCCAAGGTGGAGCAGGTGGAGGGACAGCGCGCTTTCCCCCCTGTGGTGGCCCTGCGACAGTAACCTACTGCTCGGTCTGGATGCATTTCTGCCAAAAGCTGCTGGGTTTCGAAACTTGTTCCTGAGTCTCTGAGATCATGGCCATTAAGCAGCTTGATCAGGAGCCAGAATGGCCGTTCTTGGGCAGTGACTCGAGGTCTCGTTGAGACAGGAGGAAAGGGCCGGCTCTATCCCCATCCTGTGAGGTCCCACCTGTCTCATAACTGTGGGCCCAAACCTGACTGTCCAGTGGCCTCTAGAGGATGGCAGCAACCAGGCCACCAGGGGGAACAGGCCAAGGCACAAAACCTATTCCCACCTGAGGTGGCCTGGCGCCTGTAACCTACTGCAGGGACTGGATGCATTTCTGCCAAAAGCCATTGGGTTTCGAGATTTTTTTCTCAGTCTCTGGGATCATGGCCATTAAGCAGTTTGATAAGGAACCAGAGAGGCCATGTCTCCAAGCATATAGCTGAGCCGGAGGTGGTTTGTGGGTGTGTCTCCCACATACCTAACTTTTGGCCATTTACTTTCTTGGTAAACTTTGCCCCAAGTTTTTGGGGTCTGGCCAAAGGCACATCAGCAATTTTGGGTATCTGAAAGTCTGATGGTGCCATCAGACTGCTGATGCACTCGCCTCACAGGTACAGATTGACCTGCTGGTGGCACCACACCCCCACCAACTGGTAGCTTTTTAAAGGGTAATTAAATTAAATATATTTAAGAGTAAAGGTAAAGGTAAAGGCCCTCCCGTTGATCATCGATTTGCTCGAGCGGGCCCAGTAACGTCTCCATTGGGGTCTTTGTTGTTACTGTGTTTGGCATATCGAATACTCTCGGTAGCTTGCCGGGCTCTCCGAGAGGGGCGGAGGAATCGAACTCGGGTTGGCCATGTTGGCCGCTTGTAAGGCGAACGCCCTACCCGCTGTGCTATCGCTCCAGTCAAGAGAATGTCAATATAATCTTTAAATGATCTGATGTAACTCAAGACTGTAAGAGTAGGTCATGAGTTTAACTGTCAGGGCTGAGGCAATAGCACAGCGGGGAGGTCGTTTGCCTTGCAAGTGGCTGACCCGGGTTCAATCCCAGGGATCCCATATGGTCCCCCAAGCACTGCCGGGAGTAATTCCTGAGTGCAGAGCCAGGACTAACCCTTGAGCATCGCTGGGTGTGACCTCCCCACCCCTCAAAAAAAAGAGGTCAACTACATGAATAATCATTCACAGTTAAATTCTCTTCAATATAAAAGAGGGGCCATAGTGACAGTCCAGTGGGTAGTTGCGTTGCCTTGCAAGCAGCCAAGCCAGGTTCAATGCCTTGCACCCCTTATGGTCCCCCGAGCACTGCCAGGAATGATCCCTAAGCATTGCCAGTTGTACCCCTCCTCCCCAGAAAAATATTCAAAGCTGTGGGATTTAAAAGATCTGCAAATTTATCAAGAACGTTTCCATGTCTGTATTAATAATATTTATATTTCTGTATATTTATATTTCCGCTGTGTATTCGATATGCCAAAACCAGTAACTACAACTGGTCTCATTCACCTGACCCTGAAGGCTTCACCGACATGGCAGCACTGAGAAGGATGAGAAAGGAGAGGCCGACAAAATCTCAAGGCCGACCTAGGCTGCCACAACGAAGGAAGACAAAAATGATCGTCTGTACTTTCAATGCACGTACGCTAGCATCAGATGCATCCATCGAGGACCTGATGGTACAAGCGCGAATGATCAAGTACGACATCATTGGTCTGACCGAGACAAGAAGGCACGAATCTCACCATGCCGTTTTCGACACTGGAGAAGAATTGTTCCTCGGAACATGCGATAAAAGAGGTGTTGGAGGCGTCGGTGTCCTTGTCAACACAAACTTGGCCAAGAGCATTGATTCATTCGAATGCCTAACAACCCGAATCGGACGTTTACATTTGAATAGATGTGGCTCACTGCCTGCAGTTTCTATCTTCGTTGTCTACGCACCAACATCTCATTATGATGAAAGAGAAATCGAGAAGTTCTACATGGAGCTAGAGAAGTTCTATAAAGAAGACCACACCTTCTACAAGATCATTGTGGGTGATTTTAATGCCAAGATAGGACCGAGAAGATCAGCTGAAGAACTTCACATCGGGACCCATGGCCTAGAATGGAACGAACAGGGTGAGAGACTGTCTGAGTTCATCATGTCGACCAAGACCATTCATGGTAACTCACAGTTCCAGAAGGCAGAATCTAAACGATGGACATGGGAGTCTCCCGGTGGACGATTCCACAACGAAATAGACCACATCATATTCAATCGACGGTTTTGCCTGACTGATGTCGCTATTGTCCCAAAATTTCGAACGGGATCGGACCACCGTCTCCTTCGTGCAAAATTCTACTTCACAGAGCGGGGAGAAAGGGCTGCAAAGTTCAAAAAGAGAACTCCCAGAATGACCACCAACTGGGAACTCTTTGGTACTATTGCGGCAACATGGGAAGATGCCATTGTTGACAACATTGACGAGGAATACGATCGACTGGTTCAGCACCTCCATGAATGTGCGAGGAACGCCAAGAGAGAGATAGCCACAAAAAGTCGCCTATCTTCGAAAACTCTTGAGCTAATTCGCCAGCGTGGTTTGGCGCATGCCTCAGGCAACCGCAAGCTAACGTCCGAGCTTGCAAAGCAGTGCAGAGATGCGATCAAGGAAGACCTCAAAGAGAGACGAGCAGAAGTACTGGTAGATGCAGCAGAAGCCGGGAAAAGTATTCGTAACGCCCGCCTGTCCTTCGCCAACTATAAGACCAAGATGACTGCCCTCCG